CCTTTACACCCTTCTCCCTCACCCACTCCTCCAAACCTTCCACTCCCTCAACAGGAACAGCAACTTCCACACACTCCCCCTCCAGTCTAACGACGGCCAAAGGAACAAACAAATCATTATCCGGCTCAAATCCATTCCACTGAACCAAACACAAATCCCCATCAAGAGAAGAACACGAAACACCATCCCAATCCTTGAGGACAGAAGAGGAAGGTGAGCTACCAGCCAACGGAGTCCCAAAATCCTCATTAGATAGAGAACCCCTTGGCTCACCTAAAAACCTTTCAAAGCCAAGTGAACCCGTAGCTCATTTAACAAAACAGCGGCAATAACATCATCAAGATTAATCTACACATCACACCCCACACAGACAATGACATTCTCACACTCCATATCAAAAGACCGAGAGGTTCCCAACCTGTTGACCTGACATACACCATGCAACTCCTCCAACCCAAGCTCCATACCATCCTCAAAAACCGGAGATAGATTTTTGGAAACAGAGGTCATCACTCCCTTCTCCAACTCCAAGCACTTCCTCAACACCCCACAAGAGGGAGGAGGAGGAGCAGAAGAAAAAATAAGATGAAAGAGCCCAGGCAAAGAGATGGACTTACCCGAAACAGAGTCGGAGTTCAAACATAGCACCCATTTTTACTTCTCCTTACGTGTCCACCTTCTTCGTATTGCAGGAAGGAGGATCTTCTTCTTCGCTCTCAGATGGTGCCCCTGTGAAGGAATCCTTGCTCGTTGTCCAGCTCTATGAATGGGCAAACCAGGCAACTAAAAAACAAGGCCATCATCTGAAAAAGCCAAAGGCCCAAACCTATTACCCACAGCAAGCCCAGAACAAGCAGGATCAGAACCCGGCCCAGCCAAAAACCCACAGCACATGCCAGTAGAAACATCATTAGAGCAATCCTTTGAGTGGGCCGCCTCACCTCTATCCTGTCCACGAGACGATGGGTCATGAAACCCATTATACATTGGCCCAAAAACCGGCCCACAAGAAGATGGGTCATGATCACGAACAACCATGGCCCCATTCACCGGCCCAACAATAAGCCCAACTTTCCACATATGTTGTTAACTATGTTACTTGGACCCTCCAATTTCCCCTTCATGCACCCGTGTCGACAGAATACGACATGGATATGGGTATGGGTATGGGTATGGGATATGCATCTAACAAACAAACTCAATCAAACTCCCTAACCCTTCGCATGCCATGATTGAAGAAAAAAGAACTCAAATTTGATAGCAAAAATGGATTTCCTAGTTACTTTATTGATGAAAACCCTGTTTCATATATAACTTAAATAATAATTGAGAATACTCTTACCAAAAAACAACATAATATATAAAATATAATTTCTTGAAATGCTTATTGTGTGTCTATGCTCATATTCAACTTTTGGACGTTGTTAAGATAATAGAACTTAATGTTGCATATTCGTAACAAACTAGTAGGAAGGAATATTCACCTCATGAATCACTGACTTACCAATTAGGGTTTTATTTTATGCATTCAAATCATTAATCATGTTAAAACTCATTGCATGTATGCTTTGATACAGAATGCATAAAACTGTTTTTTTTTTTTTTTTTTTGATAAGTAATAATGAATTAAAAAAGGCGTTCAATAGGGGAACGCATCCCATAAACATTAGAGAAACGGGAGTCTAAGGCCCCAAAGAATCCAAAAAAGTAATTAAGTCATCAAAAGAGGAACAAGAACTCCTCTTCACATAACTAAAGAGAACGAATAACAAAAACTGTTTTAGAAACTTAAAATCCTAACTGAACTAGGACAAGAGTGTTCAATCTATAGAAGGATCGATTGTACGTCACTGGACTAGGTGTGATCAATCGAATGGTGCAGAATTCAGTTTCCTTTTCTAATTACAACTCTAAAACCCAAATTTTTTCTGGATTAGAACACTACATAAACATCCCTAAGCTCTGAAACTCATACAGAAAGAAAACAAACACATCTAGAGAGATTTATAGAGAGAATATAAGCACATAGATTGTATACTGTTCTTCTCATCATCTACCATGTTGCATTAAATTGTGAATTATTCTTCAGAGTATTCGTCGTCAACTTGCAAAGCCTAAATTGTCATCAACACCAAATCACAAAATAAGCAAGGGCTTGGATAACAAGCCAATGATATTAAAGCACTGTTGAAGAGCGAACTATGTGAGACGCAAGTGTGTTAACCGGCATCAATAGAGTTCGAGGAGCACGTTTGGCGTGAGTTTTGGCCAAAGGTAACTAAGGAATTCTTGGAATTAGAATCTGGTAACTTATGGTTATATTACATAATTTCTGTTGATCTGCCTAGACTAGATTTTTCTACGTTAAAGTCGTGTACATGTGTGATTGCTTACTTGTTTATTTTTGGTCTCTACAGCTTAAATAATTTATATTGTTGCATTTGGACTAAATTGCTAGAATTCAAAAATCAGTTAATGTTAGTTAAAAATTGATTAAGATCTATTTACCCCCTCAATATTTATTTCAGGACATAGTGTACTCTGACGTATCAGTCTTGGGCAACACTCCTAGTCTTCAGACATGTACCCCATATCCTAAAATTTGGGACAAGGAAGTCCAACACTTAGACACACAACTGGACAAAATACCACTAACCCGAGTCCATGTAACATAGATTGCTACAAAGCAACCACATGATACTTCCTGGTGGTAGCATTCCCAATCTGTCTTCTGTATCTCAGTTTGCTTAAGATGTCCACAAAAGACTACACATGATACTTCCTGGTGGCAGCATTCCCATATCCATCTTCTGTATCTCAGTTTGCTTAAGATGTCCACAAAAGACTAAGTTACTTAGCTGGTTGCCTTTCCTTCCGCAATTATGAAGTTAAGCTCCTCTGCCTAGTAGGTTAGTTACTCTTTTAAGTATTTATACAGGATGGGAGATTTTTTATCATGCTCAAAGATGTCTGAGCTTTCATCACTTGCTGCATCTACTACTCTAGAAAGAGAACTTTGATTGTATCCATTCATCCTTGAAGAGGATACAACTTGTAAAACCCATTTGGGATTGCTGTTAGAATGATGAAAGCGCTTTTAACAGTAGAGCTGCCACAAAATTGTTATCAGTAAAAATCATGTTATGTGTTTGGTGATGCATTTTATAAAGCACTTTATACTTGAAGCACGTTTAAATTTGTTTGGTAATAATGTTGTTTAAAGCACTTTTATTACTAATTTACTATATAAGACATACACTAATAACAATGTTGTATGATATTAACGTGCATGATTGCTGGTTAACAATTGCATGATTGCTGGTTAACATTGCATGATTACGGGTTATAAAACTAATTTAAATCCACGTTACAACTGAAAATTAGTTTAAAATTTTCACTCTACACAAGCTATAGTTTCTGTGTGGCTTACAATGCGAACAATGATAGTGATGCAGATCAGTAAGGGATAACACTATATTTATAAAGAAAAGTGAGGGACTAAATTGTCAAAAAAAAAGTAGTTACCTAATTTTGCCTAGAACGCAATTCCAAAAGCTACGATTTTTGGCTTGACGTTAACGCGCTTTTGTTTAGGAAATATCTATGGCCTAAACGTACTTTTTTAGTCACCAAACACATCTAACCGTATTTTTTTCAATCAAGGCGTTTTAGCCGTAGAGAAGCAATCCCAAACAGGCACGTACTCAAACTTATATATCTAAGATTTTTATAAAAGGGTTCTGAACCCTTGAAGTCTAGGTGAGAGGTGCTCACTTAGCAAAGGAGGAACAAGCTTGTGAAGCCTTGTAAGGGTTTGCTCCACCTGTGAAGGGGAGCTTGATAGTGGAGGTTTGAAAATCTAAAGAGGTGCTCTTGAGTTGTGGAAGTAGGCACGAGGTCCGAACCACGGAAAATCGCTTGTCCTAATGTTTGCATTCTTCTACCCTTGCCTCTTTACACTTGGTTTTATATTATTGCTATATTTGGTTGCACAGCAAGTGTTTGGGAAAAAGGCCAAGAACTACAATAGTTTGCCTAAACATCCCCCCCCCCCCCCCCCCCCCCCCCCCCCCCCCATCCCCCAAAAAAAAAAAAAAAAAAAACCCTACCACACCGCCCACCCCACCTCCTCCTCTTCTTGAGTCATTGTTTGGGCAACAAATGCCATGTAAGTCAGAGAGTAACATGGACTCTATTATCAACTCAAGTCAAAGAATCTTAAAAACCCTACCTAGGGAAATAAAAAGAGAAGAAAGAGTTATTGTTTAGTTAAGACAAACAAATTAAACTTCCACCAATATATAGATCATCAGGCAGGACATTATTTTAATCCAATTTATTTTGATCTACTTGTGTCAATATAAAATTCATGAAGTTCAAGTTGATGTTATGAAGTCCTTCTAGGAAGTGAAAGTAAGAGACATCAATATCATATTCATGCATCATTGCAGGATGCTATAACAACTCCTGAAGAGTGTGGATTCAAGACCATGGGTGTATGCCACCAACATAGAACCCGAAACTTATGTATTGCCACAAACGTAAAACTGGGATCTTTACAACAAAATCTATTAAGGTTATTGCACGAGTAAAATTGCATCTTATAACTCAGTTCCTAATGCAAAAAAAAAAAAAAAAAAAAAAAAAAAGGAGAAAAGAAAAGAAAAGAGAGGGAGAGAGAGAGAGAGAGAATGCCAAGAAACATCTCTTGAGGTTTCTAAATAATACTGGTCCCTCCTAAAGTTCCACCAATAACCAATTCACTCTAGCATCATTTACTGCCCCAGCCAGTGAGAAGCCAAAAACGACTGTTGCACCCTCAAAATAAAAAATAAAATATCAGATATACTTACTAGAATGGTGGCATCAGTATTATAACAATTCTATTTTTTTTTTCAATTTACTGTGAATATATCAAAACAACACCTAAAAGCAGCCCCCCCAAAGGGACCAAGAGAGAGATGGTATAAACCAAAGTTATTGTGAATAGATAACATTACCTGAATTGGCTCGATCAAGAGAACCAATGATGTTATAAAAGAAACAACACCAGAACAATTGAAAGAACTACTTGACACCACCATCGAGCCAACACAAAATATAAACAATGCCCCAAAATATATAATGTGTACTATCTGAGGAATTAATGCCTTCATTTTCTTCTTTCTCAAACATTCGGATAGATCAACATGAGCTAGCCATTGAAACCTGGCACTCTCGCAGAGCTCTGCATTGTTTGCCTTCACAAAGAAAATCGAAGGGAGGACCTAAAACATAGCAATATATACAACCAGTTGCATCAATGAATAAGAAAAAAACAATCTAATGAGAGCGTTCACCACACATTTGAGAAATGACAGAGAAGATACTGACTAGAACTACTAGGTAATCAAGATGAAAATCGCCTAGAATATCAAGAGAAAGGACAATGATAAACTGAATGATGAAGATCAGGCAGGTTAAGAGGGAATCCAAATAAAGAAAAACAAACAATGTCAATCTAAACAAGCTGGACATTTTAGCATAACCAATACAAATAATGAAGGTCCAAGTACTCGCAAGAAAAAAGAACCATAACCAAAAAAAAAAAAAAAATCCCCAGCTGATGACCCCCCGACCCCCCCCCCCCCCCCCCCCCCCCCCCCCCTCCCTCCTCTTTTTACCCACGAAAATAGGAAAAAAAAACATGGAAATGAAGCCCAAGGGATAACAGTGTTCCAAGTAAAAGGACTAGCAATAGCATGAAGGTAATGAATATTAGCCAGAGAAGATAAAGGTGGTGGCAAATGCCATGAAGTTAAAAATATTAACAAAAGAAAATCAAGCAGAACCATGGCTTTCTTGTTATGAAATCAAAATGTAGGTATGGGGAAGGAAAGAAAACTAAGACAAAACAAAAGGTAAGACCCTGGGTCCGTGACAAGCAACCCTATAACAACAGAGGCCAACATTGGCTCCACCATAGCCAAATGTGACCTGGGGAAGCATAATAATCTAATTCTTCTAGCAATGGAACTGAAGACTGGTCTATTACAACTTTCAATGTAAATTCTAATACTAATAGTCTGTCCACAACCCAAGCCTTCCCATTGGCCCCCGGGAAAAAGTACACAGGACCTCATTTTATGTTGACCTTCATGCATATTTATGTGCCAACAGAGTCTCACACTTCGAACAAGTAAGCATGTATGCCGGGGACTTGTGTGAGATTTTATTTTATTTTATTTTTGATAAGTAAAAATGTATTAGAAAGCGTTCAAAAGGGAAACGCATCCCAAGAGCTGTACAAAAACCAAAAAAGAGAAAGGGAAGTCCTATGGACCCAAAGAACCCAAAGAGTCCACGATTTCATCGAAAGATGTACAATTTCTCCCCAAACCCCAACTAAAAAGAGAACAAATAATAGAAAACTTCAACGCCCCAATGGAGGATTCCTCCCCGTCAAAAGATCTTCTACTCTACTCTTTCCAAAGGCTCCACCAAACACAGAGGGGGGTCACCCTCCAAAAATCGCGAACATGTGGCCTCACCCTTTGGCCCCTCTAAATGTCAATCAAATCCCTTGAGGTTTGGGGCATAACCCAGTGGACACCAAAAAGTCCCAAAATAAGACTCCAGTAGTCATGAGCCACAGGACAATGCAAAAAGAAGGTGATCTACAGACTCTCCATCATTCTTACACGGACAACACCGGTTGACAATGATTTGTCTTCTACTCCTCAAATTGTCCAGAGTCAAGATCCTACCCCAAGCTGCGGTCCAAAAAAAGAAGGCCACCCTAAGAGGAGCCTTCGAATGCCAAACCGTTTTCCACGGGAAAGTGGTGTGAGATTTAACAAATATATAATGGAACCAAGGCAAAAGGAAGCAAGGAAACCAAAAGGCTTTAATTAGAAATTGACAACCGGTGGCTGATTCTGCCAAGAGGAAAAATAATTTAAACAATAGTTATCAAAGTTTGATCATGACACAACTAAGTCAACATAATGTCACTGCACGTATATAACCCTCATTGTGGGTCCTATAATACCAAAAGCCCTTCCCATCACAAGACATATATCTAAACATAGGACAACTATATTTGTACATGAACACAGTTTGCACTACTATGAATTTGTGATACATACAAAGCCACTCTAAACAGACTCGAGTAGGAATATCAAATGTGAGTGCATGTATAGGTGCTAGATTTGTTAATCCCTAAATTACAGGAAGAAGGCGTGCCGCATTATTGAACTCTATATTTTTTCTTGTCTCAACCTTAGCATAAACTTAAGTTTCTATCCAAATTAAAATATTAAGCCTGCGTGCTTGATTCAAAGTTGGCAATACACCATGGGAACATATAAAGACAATCTAGATAAGTTCTTTCAAACTAGGAATCGTTCTTTGTTCTTCTGCATTGTTCAACATTAGGCTTTTTAAAAAATAACCCATGCCCAAACAGATGTCATGGTTTGTCAAAACAGGTATTTTATTGAAGTCTCCATGTAAAAGAAACACAAATGATAATTGCATAATTTATACATAATTGATCTCCGAAATTATATTTGTTAGTATTTTATTTTAGATTATTTTATAAGATGCCACCTTACCAAGAGGATACAATCAAATCGTCTTCACAACAATATTAAAACGAAATAAAAGAATAATGCTAGAAAAAGGAGAACTGCAAAGTTGCAAAGCAAACTTTATCTGCTGTAAACATAATAATCCATTCGCTAATCTCCAAAACTAAACTGATTGAACCCTAGAAATTACAAGGCTTTATATAGAATTTCTTCCTCGCCAATCCTAGCCTCAAATTAACTAACTACCAAATATAAAATAAAACCAAAATGGTAAAGCTGCTGAAAATCTGAAAACTACTCAAAAAGGAAAGCTGATGAAAATCAGAAAACTACTCAAAAAGGAAAGCTGATGAAAATCATTAAACTACTCAAAATAAGGAAACTTTCAAAATATGGAAACTTTATGAAGCATCACCTAGACCAGCTCCTATTCCATTTGAGGAAAGGTGTTGGGATGGTGGCTTTAAGGTAAAAATTCCTGAATTTGTAGGATATCTTGGTGTTTCTTTCAGGATTGGGAGATAGAGGAGGCCATTCGTTTCTTGGAGTTGCTGTATCGCCAAAGGATTGTGGAGGAGAATTCGGATTGTTGGTCTTGGGCAGCAAACTCTCAGGGGCTTTTCGAGGTGAGGTCTTTCTTCAAGTGTCTCTCTTTTGATCCTGATGTTCGTTTTCCTTGGAAGTCTGTTTGGCATTCCAAGGCTCCTCTCGAGGTGGCGTTCTTTGTGTGGACTTCGATTCTGGGTAGGATCTTAACCCAGGATAATTTGCGTAAGAGAAGCCAGGTGGTGATCAATCGTTGTTATATGTGTCTTAGTGATGAGGAATCAGTGGATCACCTTCTCATTCATTGCTCTTTGGCTAGAGCTTGTTGGGATTTGATGCTTGGTTTATTTGGGTTTTCTTGGGTTATGCCAGGATCTGCGAGAGGGTTGATTGAGGCGTGGAGAGGTTGCCCTGTGGGGGTTCTCAGTTGGAATGCTTGGAGGGCTACGCCGCTATGTGTGTGGTGGTGTATTTGGCTTGAAAGGAATAGAAGATATTCTGAAGGAAAGGCGATGTTGATTTCGGTGCTTAAATTCTCGATTATTTCCACTCTTTTTTGTTGAGTTTCAGGAAAAGATCATAGATCGTTGAAGGAAACTGTTGATTTTTTGGCCTCTTTGAAGGCTTGAGTCCTTTGTGGCTTTTTGTATTTTTCTTGGGATCCGCTCCATTTTTGAGCGTTTTTTATAAAATCTTTATTTATCAAAAAAAAAGAACCACCACCACAGGAGGAGGAACCTATCTATAACAATGATGACGAGTCCAATGAAAAAAAATTCATCACGCGTGAGGAGACATGGTTAGAAAGTTTCTATCATGATTCAGGGAATGATCCAACAAGTGATCAGTCATGGTTGTTCATAAAATCTACTACTGTAGAACCATTTGTTGAGTGGAGTAAGCCTCTAATTTTTTATGAAGAACCACACATTGAATCATACGAGTCAAAAATGCCTATGGATTGGGATCAATTAGCAATCTTTGAGAAGGAGGCTACAAAAGAAGAATCTCAACATGAAGGAAGCTATGAGAATGTGGTGTTAACAATAGCAATGGAGACACAGGAAGCGCCTAACCTTTCACCGACCGGAGTTTTGCAAGAATACAAGTCTGACTATTGGTTGGTGTTTGAAGATTCGAGCACTAAAACAAGTTTACATAGCTTGGAAAATGTGGTGGATCATAAGGCTTTTGGATTCGTGGAGGTCAAAAATAATGGATGTAACTTTTATGATATGATTTGGAGTAAATTCTTGGAGCGCACTACAACTGTTAGGAGTGCGTTGGAACAAAAATTAAAGTTGATTAAACTTCTATTTGAGGATACATGTTCCACTGAGTTTTGCAAATCTACCCAATTTCAAAGGAAAAAGAAATCTAGCAAAATCCATGCTGATTATGCAAATGTGTTCTTTGTTAGTGTTAGAAGATTATTATGTTTGATTCGAGTTCGGAAAAGTTCATGGAAATTTGCTTCTAACTCAAGGACGAGTTTTCTCTCACCTGGAGGGACTGATGCAGTGCAAATGCAAGAGGATTTTCTTCAAACAGTTGAACTGTTGAAGATCCTAGGAAGTCTAGATTAAAATTGCATTAGTAGGGGTAGCATTGTTTATGGGTCTTAAATCTGTCTTAATTTTATGTTTAATGTTTGCTTTAAGCTCTAGTAAGGGTATTATTGTCATTTTGGTTTTATTTTATAAGTCCTGTGCCTTTTAAGTGAGTCATTTTTTTTGATAAGTAATAATAAATTAAAAAAGGCGTTCAATAGGGGAACACGTCCCGTGGACAAAGGAACCAGGGATTAAGGCCCCAAAGAATCCAAAAAAGAGATTAAATCAACAAAAGAGGAACACGAACTTCTGTTCACCTAACAAAAAAGAGAGCGAATAATAAAAAGTTTCAATGTCGCTGTAGACGACTCCTTCCCTTCAAACATTCTATTATTTCGCTCCTTCCAGATACACCACCAAATACAATGTGGTACAGATCTCCAATAAGCACGAACGCTCCTACTCACACGACAACCTCTCCAACTATGAATTAGCCCCCTAGTAGAGCGTGGCATTACCCAACACATGCCAAATAGGCCAAGAATGAGATTCCAACAATCGTGCGCTACAGAGCAATGCAATAGGAGATGATCGACT